AAAAAAAAAAAAAAAACAAGTGTTATTTGAAAAAAAAGAATTTTGCGATGAAGCTTTTCCCATGATCTAACAACTTCATACTATCATTCCAATGACATTTTTCTTTAATATACATGCGTTATCAAGTAAATCGATCGAAAAAACCATAAATAAAGCGCGATTTGGTCAAAAAACAATCATAACGAATATCGTTTCGTTATAACATTGAAATAACGAGTTTATATTCGTTATGACCTCGGTCTTCGGTAATTCAGATTGGTTCATTGTGCGAATTAGCACAGCTTTGGATCACGTCGGTTCGATGGTTAATTTCACTTAATATGAAGTTTTAAGACTCCTCAACAACGCTTGCCGAGTTGGATGATAACAGAGAGGCCCCCAATATCGGCGATCATACGGAGTGATGGTCGTCGAGTTCTTTGGTAAGCTTTTATCCTCCATTTTTATTTCTTTATTCGTTCGTTCTGTGTTATTCCTTCTGTGTAATGGCGTCGAAAGGAAAGGGTAAAGTGGTGACGAGTTCTTCGAGTACCGAATCAGTTCCACTAGAGGTATATCATGACTCGGAACTGGTCGAATTGGCTTTCGAATACCATCGGTGGGATCCGATGTTAGTGAGGCATTTAGATATTAAGCCTAATTATGAAGACAGTGATTGTATGGTGGAGGAGGATGCAGCCGTTGTCGAGGTGCCTCATTGGAGGAGGCCGGTGAGAAAGTGGCCTGATCCTAAGGTCGATTTTGAGGGTGAGCCCAGTATCTTGACCGATGCCGACGTGGTGTTGTTGCGGGAGCAGGTGAGGATTCCACCGTCGGTGAAGGTTTTCGCCCCTTACCCCGGGGACAGAATAACAAGCCCTCCTCCGGGTTGTGTGGGTAAATATGTGGAAAGCATGAGGTCGGGATTGAGATTCCCCTTACCGAATTTGATCACGGAGTACCTTCGGAGTTGGGGGTTGCCGTTGTGCCAGATTACTCCCAACAGTTGGAAGAAAATTATCGGCCTGATGGAGTTGCTGCACGAGCAAGGTGAAGGGTTACCGTCGTGCGAGGAGATAAGAAGTATCTTCGCCTTTAAGAAGAGCCCGAAGAGACATGTTGCGGAATCTTCGTGTTGCTTCTTTGCAGGGGCTAAACCGCAACGTGGTATGAAAGTCGGTGAGATTATAACCGATATCCCAGAGACTCTTCATGGATTTCAGGAGGAATGGTTGTGGATTGGAGGAGAATGGCAGCCCGAAAGCTTTTAATATGAAGTTTTAAGACTCCTCAACAACGCTTGCCGAGTTGGATGATAACAGAGAGGCCCCCAATATCGGCGATCATACGGAGTGATGGTCGTCGAGTTCTTTGGTAAGCTTTTATCCTCCATTTTTATTTCTTTATTCGTTCGTTCTGTGTTATTCCTTCTGTGTAATGGCGTCGAAAGGAAAGGGTAAAGCGGTGACGAGTTCTTCGAGTACCGAATCAGTTCCACTAGAGGTATATCATGACTCGGAACTGGTCGAATTGGCTTTCGAATACCATTGGTGGGATCCGATGTTAGTGAGGCATTTAGATATTAAGCCTAATGACGAAGACGGTGATTGTATGGTGGAGGAGGATGCATCCGTTGTCGAGGTGCCTCATTGGAGGAGGCCGGTGAGAAAGTGGCCTGATCCTAAGGTCGATTTTGAGGGTGAGCCCAGTATCTTGACCGATGCCGACGTGGTGTTGTTGCGGGAGCAGGTGAGGATTCCACCGTCGGTGAAGGTTTTCGCCCCTTACCCTGGGGAGAGAATAACAAGCCCTCCTCCGGGTTGTGTGGGTATATTTGTGGAAAGCTTGAGGTCGGGATTGAGATTCCCCTTACCGAATTTGATCACGGAGTACCTTCGGAGTTGGGGGTTGCCGTTGTGCCAGATTACTCCCAACAGTTGGAAGAAAATTATCAGCCTGATGGTGTTGCTGCACGAGCAAGGTGAAGGGTTACCGTCGTGCAAGGAGATAAGAAGTATCTTCGCCTTTAAGAAGAGCCTGAAGAGACATGTTGCGGAATCTTCGTGTTGCTTCTTTGCAGGGGCTAAACCGCAACGTGGTATGAAAGTCGGTGAGATTATAACCGATATCCCAGAGACTCTTCATGGATTTCAGGAGGAATGGTTGTGGATTGGAGGAGAATGGCAGCCCGAAAGCTTTTTCTATGAACCTCGGATTGACGGGATGACGATTCCGATGTTTATACATTCCAGAGCAAGTGAGTTTACTTCATTTTTCAATTCGGATATATTCTTCTGATTTTGTTTTGTTCTGTGTACTAACAGTTCGGAACTTTTGCCCTTTGTAGAAAAAGAGACTAAGCAGGCGCCCAGAATTCCATAATGAAGGTATCGTTTTAAATATTTATAGATAATAATTTAAGGGCAACTTATAGCATATAACTTAGACTTATAGTTGAAAAACTGTACCATTTTAAATATATATAATAATAAATTTTTAACAAAAAAAGTAAATTTATAATTAAAAAAGACTATAAATTTCTTTTCATGAAAGTAGTGGAGCACTGCTTATTGCTTAATTATAAAGAGTGGGTTTGTTAGGCCCTTAGAAGAACAAATTAAAGATCAACTAGTTAACTATATATAGAATTTGACCGTGCAATTAATTTTTTATTGTTGAATTAATATATATAGTTATGTATTGATTCAATTTTAATTATTTTATAAACAACCATAACGAATATAAACTCGTTATTTCAATGTTATAACGAAAAGATATTCGTTATGATTGTTTTTCGACCAAATCGCGCTTTATTTATGGTTTTTTCGATCGATTTACTTGATAAAGCATGTATATTAATGAAAAATGTCATTGGAACGATAGTATAAAGTTGTTAGATCGTTAAAACCTTCATCACAAAATTCTTTACAGTCGAGTAATTTTTTTACTGTTTCAGTTCAAAAAATCAGCATGAAAATCAATAAAAATCAGCATGAAGCTACACAGCTACACGAAAGCCCATCCTTCTTCAAGGTCTTTGTTGTCGTATGATTTTTAACAACGATGTAACGAATGATTTAGGTGGTAATTATTAACGGTTTGGACGTAAAGCATATAAAAATAACTCAACAATGGCCCCGGTCCGAGGTGAACCGAGGTGAAGAGCCGTTATGGGCTGTTGCGCGTTGCATGTTTTTTGAATTCGGGATCCCTCGTACAAGTGTCATAGGCTGACTATTTATAGCAACTTTTTACGTACATATCGGGATTTGTGCATTAGCTTTTTCATAAAGCTACTTTTTGGTGGGCGGCAGGATCAGTGGGTCCCTGATTAGCAAACAACAAAACAAAATTAAAAATACAACTAACATAAATAAATAAGAAATATAAACATATATTTATATGAAAAATACCATGATAGCTAGGGGAAATCCATGAAGAGAATACGTTATCGACTTTGGGTTTTTTGTTTTACCGAAACTGTTCCGCTTAAACAACTTCACGGTGTACCCATACGAAAAGTTTCCACAAGGATAACTATTGAAATGCTCCAAATCTTCAACCAAATGGAACCATTTTTCATCTACGAGAGTCCGACACTCTGCAGACAAAATCACGTGCTCGAGGACCGTGATAAGCCCCAATTTGTATTTCAAGTTTGCATCTTCCTTCTTCTTCAATTCATCAAATTTCTCGAGCAAATCCTTCCTCATTATCTTCCCACGCTTCTTTTTGAATAGATGCAAAAGCGAACTACTTCTTTCGGGGACCTCGTACTCGGGATCATCCACGATCTTTAATCCGGTTACAAGAGAAAACTCTTGTAACCCGAGTCTAGCTTGGTTTTCTCCGAACTTGAACCACACGGCATCATTTTCATTGTCGGATGATTTCAAGGTCCTCATAAGAAGGTGGTGGATTATTTGAGACGACAACTTCAACTCCAGAATGTGCACTAATGGGCGGAAGCAAGATTCCAAAAAAAGATGTTTATGTTCATCATCTAGCTCATCAAATACGTGATTCACAACCTTAAGGTCGCACCTATTGGTCACGACTCCGGAGCATTTAGAAGGTATGTCAAAAGCATACTCCATTTCGGTTCTTAAAAGCATAGAAAAAAGACAACATATGCCATAAATTAAAAAGTACAACATCAGTCATAAGTTACAACAATCACATGCACATTATTAAGAGATTAAGAAGTACAACACACGCACGATTGTTATTTTCGTTATGGTTATTTTTTGATCGAATACAACTATAACGATTTACATCATATTTCCATTCAAAAAAGATACTAAACTCCTAATAGGTATATTATTAGTCATTTTTAAAGTTCAAACAATAAATTTACAAATATTTTACATCATATTTCCATTAAAAAAAAAAAAGTGTTATTTGAAGAAAAAGAATTTTGCGATGAAGCTTTCCCATGATCTAACAACTTCATACTATCGTTCCAATGACATTTTTCATTAATATACATGCGTTATCAAGTAAATCGATCGAAAAAACCATAAATAAAGCGCGATTTGGTTGAAAAACAATCATAACGAATATCGTTTCGTTATAACATTGAAATAACGAGTTTATATTCGTTATGACCTCGGTCTTCGGTAATTCAGATTGGTTCATTGTGCGAATTAGCACAGCTTTGGATCACGTCGGTTCGATGGTTAATTTCACTTAATATGAAGTTTTAAGACTCCTCAACAACGCTTGCCGAGTAGGATGATAACAGAGAGGCCCCCAATATCGGCGATCATACGGAGTGATGGTCGTCGAGTTCTTTGGTAAGCTTTTATCCTCCATTTTTATTTCTTTATTCGCTCGTTCTGTGTTATTCCTTTTGTGTAATGGCGTCGAAAGGAAAGGGTAAAGCGGTGACGAGTTCTTCGAGTACCGAATCAGTTCCACTAGAGGTATATCATGACTCGGAACTGGTCGAATTGGCTTTCGAATACCATCGGTGGAATCCGATGTTAGTGAGGCATTTAGATATTAAGCCTAATGACGAAGACGGTGATTGTATGGTGGAGGAGGATGCAGCCGTTGTCGAGGTGCCTCATTGGAGGAGGCCGGTGAGAAAGTGGCCTGATCCTAAGGTCGATTTTGAGGGTGAGCCCAGTATCTTGACCGATGCCGACGTGGTGTTGTTGCGGGAGCAGGTGAGGATTTACATCAAATGTCCAGGGCAACTTATAGCATATAACTGTTCCGAGTCAACTTAATTTAATATGGTGTGCAACTTAATTAACAATGGGTATATAAAAGACAACTTAATTGGGATCCAGGTGTTTTGTAACGAAAAGACAACTTAATTACATTAATATAAAACATGATTTAGTGCACATTTCGATATACGTTTCTTTTTTAAATAAATTTTATACATTATAAGTTATATAAAAAATTTATAAAATTTATTATTGAGTGATTTTTTTTAATTGAAAATGTATTTTCAGAATACGGTTTCCTTAAATATATTTTTACGTGATTTACATTACTATATATTAACTAATAGCATTATATATAGTTATTTTGAGTGATTTACAATACTATATATTAACTAGTAGCACTGTTACATTTAAAAAAAACGGCTTTCTTCTCTTCACTTCGAACAGAAAGCAAGAAAAGAGTAGAGAGTAAGAAAAGAGAAGAGAGCGAGACCGAGAGAAAGATTCTACACATCACTAAATTCAACAATTAAGGTATAATTTCTATTCATTTTTCTTCTATTTTCACGATTTGAATGATGAATTGAAGTATATATGGTGTGCTTGTAGCAATAGGTCAGGGTGTTGTAGTTTGTTTGGAAAAATATGATTTGAAGGTGTTCGATAAAATGCCTAAAAGAGATTTTTGTACATGTTTGAGGTATAATGAATTGAACCCTTCGCCATAAG